TGAGCTCAAAAGTGTCGCCATCACTGTCCTAGGGCAAGAGAAACAAAGGGAAAAAGTAAACAAATAAAGACTGGATAAAAATAAAAAGCTTCTGCACAGCAAAAGAAACCAGCATCAAAATGAAAAGGTAACCAATTGATTGGGGTAACATATTTACCAGATATATCCAATAAGGAGTTAATATCAAAAATATATAAAGAACTCATACAAATTAACAAAAGGAAGACAAACAATCCAACTAAAAAATGGGCAGAAACCCTGAATAGACAACATCCCCAAAGAGGACATACAGATGGCCCAGAGAAATATGAAAAAATGCCCAATGTCACTAATCATCAGAGATTCAAATTAAAATTACAGTGAGGTATCACCTCATACTTGTCAAAATAGTTACCATCAATAAATCAACAAACCACAAGTGCTGAGGAGGATGTGGAGAAAAGGGAACCCTAGTACACTGCTGGTAGGAACGCAGACTGGTGCAGCCACTGTCAAAAACAATATGGAGAGGGAGTTCTGTGAGAGCCACTTGACCTCGCTCTGGAGCTGCAGGTCCCAGCATGGTCGATCAGCCCAGTGCTGTTGTCCAGGAGGACCCATGGATGTCCGCCCAGGCCCTGGACAGACTGTTGAAGATGCCTCTTCCACTGCCACGGATTCGCACCCGGCCCTGGTGGTTTCCTGCGCTGGAGCTGAGAGACCCATTGGTGTTTTACCTGGAGGCATGTATGGCTGACCCCATCTTCGGCAAAAACGGATTCATGATTCCGGAAATAGAGTGGATGAACCAGGTCCTGCTGATGGTGGAAAAGGTGAACTTCGGAAGCTTAATCGAAATCACTGTTTTCGGACAGCCCTGTGTCCAAAATAGGGTGAAAAGCGTGCTCCTGAGCCTGGCAGCAAGGCACCGGGGAAACCGTGCCCGAGATAAGAAAATGAAACAACTGGAGAAGTTCTTGAAGGCCCATGGGTCACCTCCCCTGACTCACCAGTCTCCCCGGTCTCGGTCTCCTGTCTCATGATATTGGCAGGAGCATTATGAGAACTGACCTGCTCCTGAAGTTCAAAAGAAGCAAGTGTCCTTAAATCTTAGCTTCTTTCTTTTTTTTTTTTACTGGATGGATGGTGGTTTGGTTATTCTGATGCAGATGTGAGTGCTGTTGTAATAAAATGAATTTCCTTTTTGTCCACTGGCAAAAAAAAAAAAAAAACAATATGGAGATTTGTGAAAAAATTAAAAATGAAACTGCTTTTTGACCCAGAGATCCCACTTCTGGGGATATATTCTAAGAATCCCGAATCACCAATCAGAAAGACTATATGCACCTTTATATTCATAGCAGCATTATTTACAATAGCTAAGATCTGGAAAAAGCCCGAGTGCCCATAATGAGTGGATAAAAAAGCTGTGGTACATTTACACAATGGAATACCATGTGGTTATAAATAAGAAGGATCTCTTACTGTTCCAACAGCATGGATGGACCTGGAGATTATTATGCCACTCACGTATGCATGGAAGCTAATGAACAAAATAAACTGATGAGCTAATAGGTCCAGAGACATGGAAGCATGCAACAGACTGATAGATCTCTGATGGAATGGGAGGTGGGAAGAGATTAACCGAAGATCTTATATGCACACATACATAATCCATGGACACAGACAATAGTGTGGTGAATGCCTGGGGTGTGGCAGGTGCTGGGGGAAGGAGAGCCAAGGGGGGTGAGTGAGGGACATACATAATAGCCTAGCCCTAGACCAGGGGG